AGGCCCCTACATTAGGACCAACCTGGGCCTTAAGCAGCCTGGGTGCCTGACAGGTATCCTCCCTCCCTCCCACGTCTGTTAAGTAGCCTGGAACCGGTTGCTGTTTGTGCAAGCCGCGACCTACTGATATCAGATACCGGCCAAGTAAGTAGACCTTGAGTCTTGAAACCTCCGAGATGCAAAATTGCAGGGGCCTAAGAAATTGAAATAGGACTTGGGGCATGTTGAATCACCCATATATACGGCCCACGAGGGGGTATGAGTTCTTAGTACTGAACGCAAGGGTCTTTCTCCGAAATACGAATTATAGGATCCTTAAGGGGGGGTGGTTCAAGGGGGGAGGGTACTAGGGAGCTTTGGGGAACCTTAGGGAAGCTTAGGGAGTATTGGGGAATAATGGGGATTACTAGGTTACCTACCCCCCTTGGACCACCCCCCCTTAAGGACATCCTAAACGAAACTCCGGAAGCCTGAACCTTGATCTTTGTACTCTGGAGGCCCTCAAACCTAGACCCTCAAACCATAAACCTGAAACCTCACACCGTGAGCCCCGATATGAGCCCTCACGTACTATAATGGCCGCCATAATTAGACTGGGGGTTTTGGGGCCCATTATACTGTAGTTATAATAAGGAACCCCCTAAATAGTTTTGGTAATTGAAGCTCCTATATTATAGAACTCTACTATAGACCCTTATAGAACCCCTTACGGTACCCTTTAAAGGAACCCATAGATAATTTAGGCCCTACAGTAAGCACCCAAGGGCCCAACTCTCGCCAAGCCGGTTCGGGCTCCAGCGCATTGAGGACAGCCTGAACAAGGCCAAGAAGCACTGAAGGTTTAGGGTTTAGGGATTTTAGGGTGGGGTTTAGGGTTATGGTTTGGGTTTGGCTTCGGGTTTAGGGTTTATAGGGTTTAGGGTTTAGCGGTTTGCGCGAAGGTTTAGGGCTGAAAGTTTTTATCCTGCCAGACAACCCTACTCCAACTGGTTCGGCCCCTGTATCGTGTGGGGCTGCGGGTTGGGGAATCAAACCCATCAATCTGAGAATCCTACCATGTCTCGTCATAAACTGACTAGGTCACTGAACATGACAAGATGCGACATCACGATCGCACCTATTGCAAACCCCTTGAAAACCTCCAATCCCTACAGATCTTTCCGAAACCAAATCCCCTTTGGGAACCTGAAAAAAAACCCTTCGAGACCCTATACAACCCTACTCTAATCGCTCAGGCCCCCAAAAGTTGGGCTCGCCTTCTGTGCGCAGACGCGGGCCACAGCTTTTCTCCAGCGCTTCGACGGTGAGGGGGCCTTCACTTAGAGACAAGAAGCCAAAACCTGATTTGGGAGTTTCCGAAAATTGGGGGTACCTTATTTTGGGTCCTTGTAATAAGGATCCTACTATTTAGGGTACCATCTTTGGGTCCCCTATTTTCGGAAACGAAACCCTACTTTTTTTGTAGGTTCTTATTTTCAACGGAATTCACATAGGGGCCCTACAAAAAAGTAGGTTTTGGTTGCTTAAGGCAACCCCTAATTCAACCCTAAACCCGAAAACCCATTAGGGTTCATCGTGCCCTTGCATATGAGAACCCTGGAAAAGGCATGCGTATCGTGTCGATGCAGGACTGGGGGCGGGAGGCGTCGCGCGAAGCGGCTTGTTCTTCGGATTTTTTTGGTTTAGGGTTTAGGGAGTGGGCGTTTAAGGTTTTCGGGTTTAGGGTTTCTTTTTTTTTTGGGAGGGGGGCGGGGGGGGGGGGGTTAGGGCTTCGGGTTTAGGGATTTCCAACGGTTGCGAGTTGCGGGCTTCGGCTTGAGGTTTGGCTTCAGCCTCAACCACCTCCAAAGACCCGACTTGGAGGATCATGGGACTTAGTAAGTAAGGGTTAAGGGTCGCTTTAAGGGATCTATAGGGGTACTATAAGGGTTTAGGTTTTAGGGTCTACTTGGAGGATCATGGGACTTAGTAAGTAGGGTCCAATTACTAAGTCAAATGATCCTTTAAGTAAGAGGAAGATGCCATGCTGGCGCTGTGCATGGAAGAATGCCATAGCTGTGCCAGTGCATTGTCGGAGGATCAGCCAAACTCAACAGCTCCATGTCAGGTAGAAACACATTATTTAGGGGCCTTAATAATTGGAATAGGTTTTAGGGCGCATTATACTATAATGATATAATAAACCCCCCTAAACCCAAACCCAAACCCTAAACCCTAAACCCCAAACCCTTAAAACCCCCCAAAATAGTATAGGTAATTATTAAGGCCCCTGTATTACCGGCTCTGCGGGCCAATGATCACATTGGCTTTGCTTCCAAGATCTTCTGAACACACTCTGGGTTTAGGGTTTAGGGTTTAGGGCATGTCGATGTCATTGCCGCTAATGTCCTTTATGGTTGAGTAGTATAAGGAAGTTAATAATTGGAATAAGGTTTTGACAAGGTCCTGACCTACACAACACTAAAGCTATCATACAGAACCTCCAAAATAGTACTGGAACATTATTCAGGCCAGTCTTTTTCCTCGGATTTGAGGATGGATGCGATCTCGTCTTCATCGGCTCCGCAAAGCCTATAAAAGCAAGCTCTACTCTACATAATCGTAAAGAGGCCCGATCCAGTGTAGATCTAAACCCTGAACCCTTTAATAAAACGCATTCAACAAGACACAGCTATATCATGCCCTGAACCCTAAACCCTGACACGCCTGAGACCGCCAATTCAGACCCCTAAGCCCAAAGCCCTGAGCCTTAACCCTAAACCCTCAAAGCGTGAGGTCCTCAGACCCCCAAACCCTAAACCCTAAACCGTACCCTAAATCAATCCTAACACCCCCTACTCCCGAAACCCCGAGACCCTGAACCCTAAACCCTAAACCGAAAGACCCTAAGACCCTGAATCCCAAATTTAAACCCTCAACCCTACTTGGAAGGGCAGGGGACTTAGTAAGTAGGTTATAAATAGAGTTATAAGTACCCTCAACGGAGTTACCCCAATTATAACCCTACTTATAACTTATAACCTACTTACTAAGTCCCCTGCCCCTCTCAGCAGACCCTAAACCCTAAACCCCATAGATCCCTTTAAGGAACCCTATAGATCCCTTTAAGGAGCCCTTTAAGAGCCCTTACTAAGTCCACTGCCCTTCCAAGTGATACCTTCAAGTCCCTAAGACCTTCAAGTCCCTAAGAGCCACGGTTTAGGGTTTAGGGTTTAGGGTTTAGGGTTTAGGACCCTGAATCCTAAACCCCAAACACTGGACACTGAGGCCTTTTAAACTCGTAACCCTACTTAGAGGATCATGGGACTTAGTAAGTAGGGTTGAGGGTCGCTTTAAGTTAAGGGATCTATAGGGGTACTATAAGGGTTGAGGGTTTAGGGTCTCCTTGGAGCATCATGGGACTTAGTAAGTAGGGATATAAGTACTTTGATTGGGGTCATAAGTACTCAGAACTGTAGCTTCCTTGCCTATAACCCCAATTACTAAGTCCCATGATCCTTTAAGTAAGCCCTAAGACCAAAACCTAACTCCCTAAACCCGAATACCCAAAGAAAGATAGGCCCTGAAGGCTCAGCTTCCGACACCCCCAGGAGAGGTTGGCTCGGTCATGGGCCGAAAGCCGGGTGGAGGGGGGGGGGCCTTAAAAACAAGCGGGTCGTTCTGCAAATTACGGTGCCGTTTAGGCTAGTAGTTCCTGGGTGTTTAGGGTTTAAGGTTTAGCCCTAAACCCTAAACCCTAAACCCCTAAACCCTAAACCCTAAACCCCTAAACCCCTAAACCCTAAACCCTAAACCCCTAAACCCTAAACCCTAAACCCCTAAACCCTAAACCGTGGTTCAGAGTTGGGTCCCTTCCAGGGCCCTTGATATGCCTGCCGGACTATTTGGGGACCCGACAACTACCCAAATAGCAGAGCACATAAGACAGGGTTTAGGGTTTAGGGTTTAGGGTTTAGGGATCCTGAATAAACCCCGAACCAGAAGATACGGTTTAAGTTGTACTCCTTACTCAAGGGAGTTTACACTTTCTTGACAAGGTGACGCCGGAGGCCTGCCAGAGTTCAAGATTTCGGGTTTAGGGTTTTCTGGTTTAGGGATTGGTTTAGGGTTTAGGGATTATGGTGTAGGGATCTAGGGTTTTGGGTTTAGGGTTTAGGGTTGCTATGCTAAGCTGTAGGGGCTTTAGCTGAAGCTTGGCTTCAGGGAGCAACTTGAAGCGGGAGGTGTGCGGTTCATTTTTGGGGCTTTGTGCCTCGGGTGTGGGGCTAAGTGTCTCAGGTGCCGGTCGGCACGTGAGATGATCGATGTATGGTCAGCTTGAGCCAGGTGCGGAGGGTGTCACTGTGCAGCAGCATACTCCGCCTTTTTGTGGAACCCGCCCTAAACACTAAACTTTAAACCCACGCCCTGAGTCCCAGCATCAGAAGTTCGCTTATCTTTGGGACAGTATAGCCTTGAGGGCACTCTGTAGTTATAGTATACTAGACCCCAAAAACCTCTTCAAGATATTCAGGCCCCCATATTACATCCGGGCTCAGCTTAGAGCTCAATCTAACGTCCTCCAAACAACGCAAGCAACGGGCCGCGGCCACCCCACGTGTAGTTTGGGTTTAGGGTTTCGGGGTTTTAGGGTTTGGGGGCATAGTATACTCAAAGTAAATCTACAGAGAGACTGACTATAAGGGGATGCTAGCAGCAAGTACTCCGACCTCCACGTTATCTACACTCATGGGGATGCTGCTGACCTGGAACGGCAGAGGATTACAGTGATGATGACAATCATTGTCCTGATGACGATGATGATGACGGTGGCCATTGTCTTGACCATGACGGTTCTGCTCAGGAAGATAGAGATGACCATCACCGATACTACCACGCATTCTGCTGATCGCCAACGCTCTCAGACTCTCACCATCATGATCATCTTCATCATGCAAGCATCACCATCATAATCACCAACATCATCAGTCACCGTCACCGCTATACTTCCAAATCTCCATTTACCATGCCAGGCCTGATCCAGCACGCTGGGCCTGGATTGAGCACTCAAAGTGGCCTTGCAGGGAGCAGCAGTCCACACCGACCTGAGCTGAAGCTTACGCTCGAAACCGGGCAACCTCAAAACCTAAATCCCAAAATCCCCAACCCTAAAACCCTAAACCCTAAACCCTAAACCCTAAATCCCAAACACCTAGACCCCCAAACCCTGAACCCATGGCTCAGGGCTTGGAGCCTTTTTGTGGAGTCGCCTAAGGGTTGAAACTATGCTGTAGAGGCTCATGCACTACCCCAAGAGTCCACATAGACGACCATTATGGTATTAGGTCCCCAAAGACCATCCCTATTATGATTTTGGGGACCTAGTTCCATAATGGTAGTATATGTGGACCCTCTGGGGTAGTAACTGGATGCACTATACCACGAGGCGCTGCATCGAGATCCTATAATGCAGTTGGGCTTCGTGAGTAGATTCGGGTTTTGCTTCTAGAATGATTACATTCAAAGGGACTGCGCGGGGATGCTGTTATTCATGGCCCAAACCCCTATAGTAGATTCGAGTTCTCTGGTAAATTGCAGGCACCCTCGAACAACATCAACCGTGACCAAACTCTATCTCAGGACGGGGGTAGAACAAAGCGAAGTCGAAACCCTAAACCCCTAGTCCTTAATGCCAAACGCTAAACAACATCCTTCAAAAGACCTCCTTTGCCCCAAAGCTTAAACCCCTAAAAACCTATACCCTAAACTCTAATCACCCCTGCCCTAAACATCTAACAACTAAACCCATAAACCCTGAACACTTAAACCCCTAAAGGCTATACCGTTAGGGGCCCTTATATATAGCCCTATACCCTAAACCCCTCAACCTCTAAACCCTTAAACCCCTAAACCCCTAGACCCCCAGACCCCAGACCCCAAACCCCAAGCCATAGACTCCTAAACCCCTAAACCCCTAAACCCATGAACCCCTAAGCCCAAGCCTAAAAAATGTGCGTCCGCGCTGCCGCCCAGAAGTTGACTTCCGCTGTGCGCGACACACGGCTGGCCACAGGAGCGACACAGTACCTTGTGTTTAGGGGTAGGGTTTGGGGTTTAGGGTTCAGGGTTTTAGGGTTTTAGGGTTCAGGGTTTAAGGTTCAGGATTTTAGGGTTTAGGGTTTAAGGTTCAGGGGTTCAAGGGTTCAGGGCTTTAGGATTTAGGGTTGTGGGCTTTGGGGCTTAGGGTTTGGTGGCGATGTCCTTGAAAGAGTGCGTTTGCGCGATGCATATGCACACAAATCGTACGGGGAATTGATTTATGCGGCTTGCCACTTGGGATGGCTTGCGAAGAGAGCAGTTAAGTATTGGAAACCCCCGCCGGAGCCCCATCGCCACGTTGAGTTGTGGATTTTACAACTTTTGGAGCGACTCCCTAAACCCTAAACCCTGAACCCTTAACCCCAAACCCTCAACCCTTAACCCTAAACCCTGAGACTCCGGAATCCCAACAAACCTCAGAGCCAAGGCAGGATCTCCTGTTGAACTACGATATACTCCCTATTACTTAAAGGATCATGGAACTTAGTAATTGGGGTCCTTAAGGGGTTCCTTAAAGGGAATCTATAGGGGTACTATAAGGGTTTAGGGTTTAGGGTCTACTTCAAGGATCATGGAACTTAGTAACTGAGGTTTTAAGTAAGGTAAGTACAGTTATAACCCCAACTAAGGTACCTATAATACTAAGTCCAATGATCCTCCAAGTAGTCATAGAGGTTTGGAGTAGAGTTTAGGAGTTCGGAGATTCAGGGCTTGACGGCATGAAGGGCCTTGGGTTGAGGAATTAGGGGCCCCTGTGCCCTAAACCTACCACTCTTCCTTCGGACAGATTATATACTTGGTTTACAATGGATGGACAAGGCTTGTTGCACTTAGGGGTTTAGGGTTTAGGATTCTTTTCAGAAACGACTTTGGAGATTCCCGCGCCCCCTTTCTGTAAACATTGGCTGTGAAAAGCTATGGGGGGATTTGTCCCAACGGCCTTCCGGTTCTCAGCGTTTTATGACCGCTGATAAGGATATTTTGGGCACCAGATGTGAGCAAGGACAGTCTGATACCTAAACCCTGAACCCCAAACCCTATATCCACGCCACAAGCCCACCAAGTCGAGGCCTACCCGGAAGCAAGTACCGTAGGACCCAAACACCCAAATGCCCTTCATCAAGGAATATGCAGAATCGCGAATCCCTAAACTGCAGAAACCCCTAATTTAGGGTTTAGGGTTTGGGGTTTTTTAGGGCTTTCAATTTAAAGTTTTAGCACCAAGTAGATCCTAAACCCTAAACCCTTATAGTACCCCCATAGATGCCTTAAAGCGACCCTTAACCCTTACTTACTAAGTCCCATGATCCTCCAGGCAGCCCTAAACGCCTAAACCTTTAACCCTAAGTCCTAAGCCCTAAACCCCAAACCCTAACCCCTAAACCCTAAACCCAAAGCCCAAAGCCCTGTAAAGTTCTTTTCCTCTGGGCTGCGTGTGCCCATCCTCCGCTGCGAAGCCAACGGAGCGTCGTTGGTCCAGGAAGGCCTCGGTGGAACTCTGGTTTTCGCTGTGTAGGGTTTCGGGGTTTAGGGTTTAGGGGTTTAGGTTCAGGGGTTTAGGGTTTAGGGGTTTAGCGGTTTAGGGGTTTAGTGGGTTAGGGGTTTAGGGTTTAGGGGTTTGTGGGTTTAGGGCTTTAGGGTTTTAGGGTTTAGGGCTGTGTTAGGGCTTGGTTGGGTTAGGGCTACTGGTTTCGGGCTTACATACACACCTGCATACATACATACGATCATACGGTATAAACACATGCATGCATAACGCAGCATAACATGACAGAACATAACGTAGGATTACATTCCATTCCATACCATGCATAAATAAAAGAGAAAGCGAGCGGCATTTTTGTTTCGCCTGTTGTAGACTGCACTCAGACCTAATCCGATCCTGCTTCGCGTCCTGCCTCAGTCGCGAAGCTGACACGGCCCGCGTCGGCGACGATGGCGCTGTTCTCAGAGGGCACGACGTTCTCGTAGGTCCTGACACTTGAAACTTCTGTACGTGGAGCTAGATGAACCTGGATAAGTAATGTCCGAAGTCAGCATGGGTGACCTGACCGATATCATTCTGTCTTGTGTATACTCCACTTCGCGAAGATCCTTCTAACAGGCTTAAACCTAATTAAAACAAGCCTTGATGATTCGACTAGGTTCGGCCTGCAGTATAGTATACAAGGATCATATGCTACTACTACTACTACTACTACTACTACTACTACTACTACTACTACTACTACTACGACAACTACTACTACTACTACTACTTCTTCTTCTACTACTACTACTGCTACTACTACTACCACTACCACTCCTACTACTACTACTACTACTACTACTACTACTACTACTACTACTACTACCACTACTACTACTACTACTACTACTACTACTACTACTACTACTACTACTACTACTACTACTACTACTACTACTACTACTATACTACAAGTAGTCATTCAAGCCCCCATATCACGCCGGATTTTGGGTTTCCGGCTCACACGTCTTAGGAAGGTATATGACATACTGATGATTGGGTTTAGGGTTTAAGGCTTAGGGAAGTTGAGGCAAGTGGTTGAAAACGGTGTTTTGAGCTGCTTGAAGCCTAAACTAAACATGAACTACCTCTGCGGCCATTAAAGGATTGCAGCGTTTAGGTTGAAGGCAGACACCATCAGATCTGCACTTCTTAAGGGCTCCCCACATACTGCTACTACTACTACTACTACTACTACTACTACCACTACTACTACTACTTTTACTACTACTACTACTACTACTACTACTACTACTACTACTACTACTACTACTACTACTACTACTACTACTACTACTACTAATTACTACTACTACTACTACTACTACTACGACTACCACTACTACCACAACGACTACTACCACTACTACTACTACTACTACTACTACTACTACTACTACTACTACTACTACTACTACTACTACTACTACTACTACTACTACTACTACTACTACTACTACTACTACTACTACTACTACTACTACTACTACTACTAATGCTACTACTACTACTACTACTACTACTACTACTACTACTACTACTGCTACTGCTACTGCTACTGCTACTGCTACTGATACCACTACCGCTACCGCTACGGCTACGGCTACGGCTACGGCTACGGCTACTGCTACTGCTACTGCTACCGCTACTGCTACTGCTACTGCTACCGCTACTGCTGCTACTACTGCTGCTACTGCTACTGCTACTGCTACCGCTACCGCTACCGCTACCGCTACCGCTACCGCTACCGCTACCGCTACCGCTACCGCTACCGCTACCGCTACCGCTACCGCTACCGCTACCGCTACTGCTACTGCTACTGCTACTGCTACTGCTACTGCTACTGCTACTGCTACTGCTACTAATACTGCTACTGCTACTGCTACTGCTACTGCTACTGCTACTGCTACTGCTACTGCTATTGCTACTGCTACTGCTACTGCTACTGCTACTGCTACTGCTACTGCTACTGCTACTGCTGCTGCTACTGCTGCTGTTGCTGCTACTGCTACTGCTACTGCTACCGCTACTGCTGCTACTACTGCTGCTACTGCTACCGCTACCGCTACCGCTACCGCTACCGCTACCGCTACTGCTACTGCTACTGCTACTGCTACTGCTACTGCTACTGCTACTGCTGCTGCTACTGCTGCTGCTACTGCTGCTGTTGCTGCTACTGCTACTGCTACTGCTACTGCTACCGCTACTGCTACTGCTACTGCTACTGCTACTGCTGCTGCTACTGCTGCTGCTACGGCTGCTGCTACTGCTGCTGTTGCTGCTACTGCGGCTGCTACTGCTGCTGCTGTTGCTGCTGCGACGACCACTACCACCACAACCTTAGCGCCTCCTGCGGCCATTTTCTCAGCCGATCGCAGAACGACAGGGCCGACTCTATGAGACAGAGCCGACCAGGGAGAAACGGCCTGAAACACTCTGATCCTCTCTCCGTCCGGAAGCGGCTGCTGGGTTGGGCCGTTCCATTGTAGCTTTCATGGCTTCGGGTTTAGGGTTTCAGGGTTCTGGGCTCCATCTTTGAACCGCTTCCGGGAGAGTCTTTAAAGCAGAACTTTGTCGGAGATGAGGATTTTCTGGTCTCTAACACTGCAAGCTGAAATTTGGGATCCATGTCCTTGTATCAACCCTGAAATTTAAACCCTCTAGCGCAGCTGAGGTTTCACATCTACCATGCGACCTTAATTCTTTACTAGGCAACTCCAACGAGAAGGCACCCTAAATCCTAAACTGGCATGCATGGAGTCGTGAGGCCCGCCTGTCAGTATCGGATTTTCGACTCCCTACACTTGCTTGGTGCCGTTGGATTGGTTAAACCTGGCCTCATTCGGAGGTGTGGAATGAGGGTTTTGGAAACAGATCTCCAAACAAATCCGTCAAGACATGCGGGACATGGGTTTGATTGGAGAACCCCCATCCTACAATAGTACATACTCTTCGGCCATTCTACACTATTATGTACAAATCGCTTTTGACAGGTCCAGGTGAGTGATATGACTGCCCATGGGATCTTCCCTGCCTGAGGATTTCAAGCCCAAGCTCTAAACTCAATCAAAACGTCGCTGTAACAAAGGTCCTAAGCCAAACCCTACTGATACTGGTCCGCGTTTAGGCCTTAGGGTTTAAGGTTAAGGGTTTAGGGTGTCCTCTGTCCAGGGCCTACATAAAAAAAACGTAAACCCTAAACTAGATACTAAGTTACTAAACCCTAAACCATAAAAAAAAAAAAAACACGTAAACCCTAAACTAGATACTCGGGCTCGCGTCAGCCGTCATGCGCAGGCCTCAAGCCGGCACGGACCTGGTTTCGGAGCTGGGATCAGATCTAGGATACCCAGTAACCTAACGATAAAAAGGCCTCTCTTTTGGTATTGGGTAACTTTATAAGGAACCTAGGACTACAAAAAGGGAATAAGGGCACTACTGGGCATCCTAGAGATTGGATAAACCTAGAAAACGATACAATCTGTTACAGTAGAAGCCAGAAAGTTGGAATATGATTATCGTAACCCCTTTAAGGTAAATTATGGGGGATCCTACCATGAAACCATATTTCAACTTTCTGGAGTTCCCTGTAGTACAGCGTAAGAAGCATAACGATAGAAGCACCAGATATGGTTATGATTGCAGGCTCAAGTCGTATAATTGCCACCATGCAGCTTTGGGATTCTACGTGATGGGTCTCCAACTCGAGTCTAAGCTCCGTTTCGACGCCCCCAAAATCCCAAACCCTAACCAGGACCAGAACATCCGGATACAGTTAATTGCAGTAGCCATCGCCTGTGTATTCGTCTCAGTAGTCGTCGTAGTAGTACACGGATAGTCGCAAGTAGAACTGATACGAGTAGCGGGTTTTGGCATAGATACATTGCACATGCACGGTGTCGGCATGATGACCTCGAGTACGAGTGGCGACCCACTCTCTCCGGAACGAAGCCGAGTGTTCTGTTAATCGCCTAAACATTTCGGGTTTATTATAGAAGTCTAAATAATCACAAACATTGTGACTATATCATAATATACAGCGAAAACCTACTCTCATTGTTAAGGCCGTTATATCAGGGGTGTTGTACTATTCGGGTTTCGAAGCAGCGAAGCGCAGGTCTGCAGGAAAGTTTTCCTGGAGCAGGTGTACTTGCCATGTGATCTAGCAGCTCCGAGGATAAAGGTGACAGCAACCCCAATCCCTCGCCACCAAACTCCCTAAACCCTAAACTAAACCAAAAACTACACCCAAGCCCAGAAACCGAAAAAACAAAACTAGCCAACACCTGAGCACCTCCAGCTGGCTTTTGCTACCGGAAAGCCAAGCCTGGGGTGTCCCAGAATATGTAGCATCTTTGCGGCACCTTTGCGAAGGCCATCCGAAGGTCCTACAGTTTTCCACCCATATGGCCTCGCCATGTTCCTTGTGAACCTCTACGGGATCCTGCAGCAAACATGAAGAGACACATTAGAATCCCAAACCCCTTTGGAAAGACTACCCCGATCCCTGAATGCTGAATGCGAGACCACTAAGCCCGAAACCCTGAAACCTAGACACCAAAACAAGCCTAAACCCCAAACCCTAAACCCTAAACCCTCAAAACCCGAAACCCTTGGAAAACCCTGCAAAACGCCCCAAAGAGTATACTATACCTCTCAACCCATAACCGATGGGTCCCCACAACCTCAACCAACAAACCGAAACCCTTACTTGGAGGGTCGGGGGACTTAGTAAGTAGGTGGTACGTAGACTTATGAGAACCCCAAAAGGGACCCTAATTGGGGTTATGGTACTTATAACTCCGTAAAATAACCAGGTACTAAGCCCCCCGACCCTCCATGAACCCTTTGGGTCCCGGCTGGATCAGGTTCATCACTGGCGTCACCGGCGGGGGGCCCTCATCGAACTCTTGGAGGAGGGCCTCGAGGGTTTCGCTGCTTAGGGCTTAGGGTTCAGGGGTTGTGGGGTTTAGGGCTGAGGGTTTAGGCTTAGGGCTCAGGGTTTAGGGTTGTGGGCTTGGGGCTTAGGGTTTAAGGTTGTGGGTTCCGGGTTTAGGTTTACATAGGGTTTAGGGTTTAGGGGTCGGGGTTCTTGCAAAGGATCTCGTTCTAGAGCGATTGCAAGGGTTCTATAATTGCCATTGTAAGGGTTCCGCAAGGGCTTTGCGTTGGAGCATTCCGGGGTTGCAGGGTTTTTGGAGTGTAGAGGTTCGGGATGTTCGGCTTTGGGGTTTAGAGTTGAGGGTTGGGAATATGGGAGTTTCCGAAAACAGGGGACCCCCAAAAAAAATAGCCTAAATAGTAGGATACTTATTGTAAGCGCCCCAAAATATGGTACCCCTAATTTTCGGAAATTCCCATGTGCGCGGTTGTCAAAATTATGGCCCCTCTTAGGGTATCCTAATCATTAGGTGCCTTCTTCTAATAGGGACCCAAAAAGGGACCCTAATATTGACAACCACCCATATGACTCTGGTTTTAGGAGTTGCAGGCTTGTGCTTCTCGGGTTCAGGACTGGTCCTGAAGTTCGACGCAGGAGGCCTCCCTAGAGACTCCAACAGCCCTTAACTAAATTCCTTAAATCATATTAGGGATCCTACTATATAATTTAAAGTATATTCCGTAATTAATGGGTTTTTGGAGTCTCTGGGTCTAAGCCGCCACCTTCTCTGCAAGCCAGGACCTAGATCGAATCGCTTGCATGGTCTTCGGTGATTTAAAGCTTCAGGGTTTAGCGTTTCGGGGTTTGCGGGTTCAGGGGTTTTGGGTGTAGGGGTTTAAACCCTAAACCCTAGACCCTAAACCCTAAACCCCTAAACCCTAGACCCTAAACCCCAAACCCTAAACCCTAGGGTCTAGGGCATCTTGCAGGGTAAGGATTTCGAGGGCTCGAAGTGGGTGGTTGTCAAAATTATGGTGCCT